GCTCTTGGTTTGTGAAGTCTGTGCTGACAGTCTGTCCCAGCTGGGATGGTGAAGTGGGAGCACATATAGAAGGATGTGGAACTTGATAAAACTCTTAAACTATTCCACTCTGCCTGATGCCTTACTGACTCTTGAGACCTTTCTTGGCTTGGGTTCTCCTTCCCCCTGGAGTTTTTCTAAGGCCGTGTGGACTTCCCCAAATAATTCTGCATTGGAAACCTTGGTACGTGTAACAAAATATTTTGGCTTTCTTTTCATAGCTACATTATTTTCGTATGTCTGCTTATTTCTTTACTTGAGATGACAAGGAGAGGCTGTAGGCTGTTTTTTTACCACTTTGATTTGCAGGAGGCATGTGCTCTCTAAGAGTAGCAGCAGCATGAGGTCATCCTCAAGGCAGGAACTCTTCCTTTTGTGGTTTTCATGTCTGAAACGGCCCCTGTGGCTGTTTGGGGAAGGTGAAGTTTGGTCATCACATGCTGTGAAAAGGCAGAGCCTTTTGGTTACTTTTAAACTAGTTTAACAGGTATGAGAACTTCGTAGAGTGCTGAGCCAGGCAGTGCTGGTGAGGGGAGTACATCTGGCCGAGTTGAAATCCCCCTGTCCAAATGTCAGAAGACCAACGTGCGAAAGCAGACTCTTGAGTTCCTCCTCTTTCCCACGAAGCTAAAGCAACTTCATGATGTTTCTCCAGGTTAAAGGCAGAAGAAGCTGAAAACACCCTCCTTGCTCTGCTCCCCTCCAGCTCCACCATGGCTGGTGGCATCACTGACACCGGAGAGCTTTACTCCCCCTATGTAAGTGCCACCCGTCGTGGGCTTGCTCACAAGTCTTTTCAAACCCCCCTTCTCTCTGCACTGTGTTTTCATTTCCTGCTTCCCCATGGACATAACCTCCATGCTACAAGAGATACAAGGAGTCTCATGGCTACTTAAAAATACATACAACTTGTCGTTGTTGGGGGTTTTTACATCATGGAGCACTTTATATAATGTAAAGGGGTGATAGCTCCTTGACGTATAGATCTAAAAGCATTCTAAAGAGCTTCATGTCCCACGCCAGCTCTTGCATCCTTCTGCCTACTTTTCTTACATTCTGTTCATTTTTCTGTCAACCCAAATTGTCACGTGTAGCGGGCATAAACAGGGGGGATTGAGACATTGAAACCATCCCACTTTGCTTCTCTTTTTTACTTTCTATAACATTTTCCCCTGACTCTTCTAAAGTTTACATACTTACAGGTGTAGTAATTTGTTTTAAACCACTTAAATCAATAATGAAGGTGTTTCTTCCTTGTAATGTGGTGCCCTGTGAAACTGCAGAGCCAATTACTGCTTTCCTCTCTTACTGGAAATGCTGGTTTTCATGGCCACAAGTGTTCATACAGTGTCAGCTTTTATAAACAGCACTTTGCAAGCATTAGTTTTCTTCCTGTTTTTTTTTTTATGACATGAACTCACTAAACATAGAACCAGTCCAGAAATCTCTGCGTTGGCTTTCAGATGCTTTAAAACTTTCATCCCCATGTTACTGATTGAATTTAGAACAACTGGATATTAGGCTGCAGAAATAGGTCACAACTGAGCAAATGGAGAACAAGGCAGTAACTGGGACACCTGGACCCTGAAGGATCAGCGTCTCCTGCTCTTAAGTTGTTAGGTTAGTGTTGCATGAATTTCAGAGAGTCTGATCTCCAAGGTGCTGACTCTCCTGTTTCCCTTGAGATGTCTGGCCAGACTGAACACACGGGCACCATTCTCAGCTCTCTCTACTTGACCAAAGTCAAGGAAAATCACCCACGTTGGTTTTTTTTTTCTTCAAGAGTCCTTCACTGAAGAGTAACTCATGGCCCTAGGCATTTGAGTTGTGCTCAGGGAATGTCAGTTCTGTCAGCTGAATGAAAATAAGTTTCCTGTAAGCTGTAATGGCTGATTTTTTTAATGACTTTTTTTTTCATCATTCTGAGAGACTCATCAAAAGATGAATTTGCTGTGCTGATGTCAGTGAAGGAAGGGCAGGAGTGCTCACAGTGTCTCTGGGAATAGTTCTCCCAATATTAATTGCTCCACGCCCAGAAACGTGTACTCAGACACAGTTCTTTACTGGCTCTCCTCTGGAGAGACTCTGACCTATATTCAAAAAAAACCCACAAACAACAACAAAACGACTTCGGGGCAATTTTTGATCTTGAGTTCAGCTAAATTTATAGTCTGAGGGGGTTATGTCCAGTTGCAGAGTTATCTTTTACCCTTGGGCAGAAAATACCTCATTGCCAGAGAGGATGAAATCCTTACCCTTCCAGAAATAAAATCCCTTCCTCAGAATGTGCTCAGCAGCTTACTGGTAAAATGGCTTTGAATTAGAATTCTGTTCTGGTATTTCCTGTTTGACTAAGAATAAAGAAGAACAAGGAATTCTGAAAGTTGACTTGATGTGCATAGTCATAACTACTTAGGTTCAGGTCAGAAAACAGGGAGAGATCTCAACAAACAAACAGCCAGCTCACATATGTTCTAACTGTAAAATTAGAAAGAAAAAAAATTTAAAATAATTAGAAAAGTTGAGAGGAATTACAGTTCCTCTAGCAATGTGCTGCCACTCAGTTTGTTCTCTTTAGGTATCAGTCCTGTCCTATATTTATTTCTAGCATGGGCCTGCTCCCACCCTGCTTGCTCAGATTGGGCTCTCCATTTAGCTTGGTACTTCCCTGATGTGTCTTGGATGATCTCTGGCTGCAGACCCTGACGTTGGGTTGTGTGGATGATTGCAGGTTGGTCTGGTTTACATGTTCAACCTCATCGTTGGAACAGGAGCCCTGACCATGCCCAAGGCCTTTGCGACAGCAGGGTGGCTCGTCAGCCTCGTTCTCCTCATGTTCCTGGGATTTATGAGGTAGGATGTGAGTTTGGGTCTCCAGGGGATTGGGGGCTTCAGTCAGGTGGGGCTGGAAGGACAGCACCAACAGTTTTGCTGCTTTTCTGGGTGATCCTGACCCTCTGCTGCTTGAGTGTTGGTCTCTGCTTTGTGTTGCCCGTGGACCTTATCTGGAGGGATGTATTTTCTGACTCTGCAGTATGGTGCCACATCCTGTTTCCTGACTGATAGGAAAGGCTTTTTCTCCTATCCAGGGTCTCCTGGGACCTTTCTCCCAGCTTCCTTGTTTGACCCTATCCTTGCTGCAGATGCATCCTACACTTGCCTTTGTCACGGATCAGTTCCCCAAACACTAACCAGGCCATGGGTCACAGGGGGTGACATTGCTCTGCTTTGTGACTTGTGGATGTGAGGCAGCCCTCTTGTGTTGCCTTCCCCTTGCCTTCTGGCAGTACTCCGGGCAGCTGCAGGAGCATCAGGAAAACAAATCACTGTGTAGCTGGGCCTGTCTCATTCCTCAAACACCTTTGCTGCTGGAGACCTTGGAGCTGGTCTCCTGATTCCCACACTGGCTCACCACGAGCTTCTGACCAGATGTCTCCGTGCTGCAGCAGCAGGTGGAGCTGGAGGCTGTTGAGACAGCACTGATCTCTGAGTAGTTATTAATAGAACTGCTGCCTTCTGATGAGCTGTGAATCCCTGCTTGCTTCTTGCTTGGTTTCAAAACAAAATAAAACAAAATCTCCTCCTGCCATTTGTAAGAATGGAATTTAGAAGTTCTGTTCTTGTCAGTAACCAGCTCTGTCAGCCTGAAGGTGCCTTTGATTTGGAGGCAGTGCTTTTGGGATCTGTTAGGCACTGCTGTATAGAGATACTGTGTGGTCAGTGCTGACTGTAGTAATGCTGCTAAGTTCCCACCTCAAAGCTGTGTGCTGCAGAAGCTCCATAAAATGTAAACCGTGGGAGTAGCAGTCGCTGGGAGCTTTGGAAGCAATTCCTTTTAGGTATGTTAGTTTAAAAGTGAAAATTGAACGTATGAAACTTGGCACCAGCAGACAGTCCTTCAAGGTCAGCAGAAGAGCACAACCCTCCCAACCAGCATACCAAAACTGCACCAGATTAGACTGAGAAGATGCAGCTCAAAGTATGACGTGCCTTGGGAGCTGTGTTGCCCTGGTGTTTTTGTCCTGGAGCTTGGCACTTCCCTGTGCATGCTGGAGACCCTTCGGTGCAAGAAGAGTCCAGCTGGAACTTCCAACAGGCACCTCAGGGCAGGGCTGCTGCCTTTTATTCTTGCAAAACTGATCTCTCATGTGAGCTTGATAAGTGGGTCTGGTTCCTGAAGCAGTGAGAAATCATTTAAAAGCCTTGAATAAGGTTGATTTGAGATTTGTTTATAATAGGACTGGTTTTAACTGAGATAATGACATTCCTTCTATCAGTGGCTCTCGCTGACTCCCTGGACAGCTTTTGCCCCAGCTTTCAGAAAGTTGTGTTTGCATGCACGTGTGATCTGCTCTTTGGTTTTGTATTGCTTTTAAGCAATATAAAGACTTTATATATCTTTTTTTGTGAAGGTTTTGTACAAGATTCTTCAAGGGACTGAAGTATCTTTGCCACAGACCATAGTAAATATGAGCACAATACTATTCTGAAGCTTGCTAGGCCTTAAAAAGAAGAAGGAAGCTTGCTTACTAACAAAGGGTGAACTGCTCTTGCCACCTTCAACCCACAGAAACACTAGGAAGGTGTCTTACAGATATCTACGGTGTCTTTTTACATCTAAAGGCATGTTATACTTTACTGTATTTTGTGGCCTGCTTGAACACCTCTCAAGAGCAGAAGGGAGCAGCAAACGTGAAACACTCAAAAACCACAGGGTGCGTGGGGAGCTGGTGAAAGGGCTGGCTTGGCTGTTTGCTCCTACAAACAGATGGGAATAATTCTCCATCTCCCTTCCGTGGCAGTTCTTGATTATTACTGACATCAGTGGCATTTCTCTCTCCAGCTATATGACCACGACCTTTGTGGTGGAAGCCATGGCTGCTGCAAATGCTCAGCTGCGATGGAAGAGAATGGAGAAACGCAAGGTTCGTGTGGGGTTTGGGCTTTTCATCTTCTGCTCTTTTATCCTGTAGGACTTGCCTGAGATTCCTCTGCATCTTTGCCTTACCTCATTAGGAACTCTAAAGGAATAAATTTCTACTGTACTTAACTCTGCCATATAAAATACGGCTGTTAGTTCCCTGTGGGGTTGCTCATTAAAGATAGAATTTTCTGCTCCTGCTTTGAAAAATCTCTTGTGCTGTTCACATTTTTTACTGATTGTGCTCTCCGTGCCCAGAAGCACTGATCAGTGAACGTGGAGAGGTGGCAGGCAATATATTGGTGCCATTTGGAGTGTGCTGAGGTCTGTAAATTCTGACTGATCTCGGGATCATTTAACTGGGACAGGCTGGAATGTTCTTGCTGTCACTCAGGCTGTATCCCAGGGAGTGGACAGTCCTGAAGTATGTCCTTGCTGTAAAATTTGTGGTTTTCTGATCCTGGCTTTAGTGGCTTCTCTTGATCAGTGTGAGGCATAATTGTCTGGACTGATTTAGAGTGCCTGCCTGTTGTTAGTGGCTTGGCATTAGGAGCTAGACCTGTCTGCTCTGAGTAGTTAAGACTATATACGTTTGGATTTTTTTTTCTACCAGTTCTGCAACCCTGCAGATCTGCAGGAAGTTTGTAACGTCTTTGTGCCACGTGTCACTACATGAGTTGGACACTGTTGCTGTGTGCATGACCTAGGCTAGGACAGCAGAGCCTGTCACTCACTTCAGCCTGCTCTGCCAGTGCCCTCTTCTGCTCTCCACAGCTTCATGCCAAGGGCTCCCTGGTGCTACCTTCGCTTGCGTGTCCTGTCCATCCCTGTTTGGGACCTTATTCTGAGTTCCTGGAAGTGAGAACATGACACTAGTGGTGCTACAGGCTGTAGTGTGAGTAGCAGCCATCTCAGCACTGGTCTGGTCTTTTCTTCCAGGAGGATGATGAGGATGAAGATTCTTCCTCTGGAGTATCTGACAGTGACGTTCTCCTCCAGGATGGCTACGAGCGAGCAGAGACACGACCTATCCTGTCAGTCCGTGAGTACCCACTTCGTGCTTCCACTGCACTTGAGACCTCTTCTCTGCAGACAGCATCCCCGTGGGCTCCAGCACCAGGACTCTTCTGTCCATTTCACCCTTAATTCCATACGCTGGCATCCCAAAGTCCTTAGCATTTGCAAGATAATACTCATTGAGAATTCAGTTCACTTTCTGCAGTTTGATAAGGATCTTTTCCTTCTAGGTCACTAAGATGAGAACATCTTACTTTGCAAACACTTTTAAACTGACTTCTGCAGAGTAAATAGACCAGTGACTCTGCAGCCATGGAGCTGGACATGCTGTCCTTCAGACTGTTGCTAGAGCTTCCTGAGTGTCTTCAGCTAGTCTGGCCTCTGGTTTTATTGGAGGGACTGGTTGAAACACCTCTTGTTTTCCACTTGCAGAGAGACGTGGCTCACCCAATATCTTTGAAATCACTGAGAGGGTGGAAATGGGCCAGATGGCTTCCATGTTCTTCAATAAAGGTAAGTGGTTCACATTTTCAAAAACCCCTTCAGGTCCTCCTGCACATTGTATGTATGGCTCCTCCTGAAGTTTGCATGCTTCTCAGTGTGTGTTTGCTTCCTGAATTTGTGATAATTCCACCCATAAGTGTCCTTCCTTCTCTCTGTGGACTGTATTCATCACCCTGTGAGATATTTCTACATTGCAGAGTGTTTATGGGCCAGGAGGAACAGAACCTGCATGAAGGGGAAGGTGCTGTGGTGACAGCAGCACTATACAAAATACTGCAGGGTATAGGCCCAGTTTCTTTAGACAGGCAAGTGTAAGTCAGTGCCTTTTCTGACTGCCTTTAGCCTGACTTGGAACTACATCTATCCCCTGTGATCTCTGCATGCTTAAAGCAGTAGAGCCCAGCTGTAGTGTTCCCTAGTTCCATCTGGATTGTAGCACTTGATAAGATGATGTTTGGGCTTCCCTGAACCCCAATCAGTCTGAAGGAGAGAGACTTCTGGAAAGCGTGTCTGAGAATTGTGTCTGGGAAGTGGCCCAGAGAGCTGCTGGGACATGAACTGCTGGAAGGGTCCCTGGTGTGCACATGATAGGCAGCTGTCTTGTCATTTTTGTTTTTTCTCTTGTATGCCAGGGAACAAACTTGTGACCATACTGCAGTATAGCCATAGCCGTTGCTGTATGCGCTAGGAGTGCAAAGTACAATGTTAGGTATTCTGAACCTTGTAAAACAGTACATTTGAAATGCTGTGCAGACCCAGAAAATTGTCAGACATCATGGCTGTGCAGTTTTGAGCCTGTCAGGCCCCATTTCTTGTGGAAAGTGACATTTTCTCTTGTTCACTGGCCACCTTTACAAAGGCGTGATGGGCTGGTTTTTTCCATTACATTACATCAGCTTTATGCCAGTGTAAGACTCTTGCCTCTGAAGGACAGCTGGGCTTAAGGAGTGAAGATTCTTTGATCTATATTATTTCTGATTTTAAAATCCAATTGAAAAAAATTTCTAATTTCCCTGCCTGCCTTTTCTGGGCCTTTGTAGATTTAAATCGCTTAAGACTATCAAAATAATCCACCTTGGATCAGGCTGCCACTTTCCTAGTCAAAGAGGAGACTTGATTTGAATGTGGGTTGGAGCCTCAGAAATATTTTGTTCCTAGTCTTGCCTGTAGTGCTGTGTTGCTCTGACTTGAGGTGACTTCCCTTGCTTGCATGCTTTGCCATGAACACTTCCCTGTCTCTCGATCATCCTCTAGGATATTTGGGAAGCGCTTTGAGAGCATGCAACAGGGCTTAGCAGTATTGCTAAGGATTCTGCTGCGGAGGGCTGGGGATCACTGGAGGCAGAGTACTCCCATAAGGAAGCTCTAGAAGGCCTCTGCTTTGCATGTGCTTCACAGGGGAAGATAGATAAGACGGTTGTGACCCCCCAAAAGCCAACCAGGCATCGGGCAGTCGTCTTCTCGACCTCGTTGCCTTGATGCTGGCTGCTGCTCAGTCAGTAGAGGGTGCTGGAAATCCACGTCCTCTCTCCCGTCAGGCACTCCTGTAGACTTCCTAGCAAAGTGATATAAACTGCTTAGTATCTAAATCTTAATCTCTCTTCTTAATGTTGCTTTAGCCAGGGTTATCTGATTTCTGTGTTAGGGATCCTCCCTGGGACCTCCTCAGCCCAATGCAAAGGGATGAATCCCTCAGCAGGGAGGCAGCTGGAACAGCTGCACACTGGAGCTTGAAAGAACTTGTGAATTCCCCATGAGGTCGGGTACACCCAGAAAGAGGTTGTGTACACTCAGCAAAGGCTCTGGGGCAGAACTTACCTTTCTTATTTTCCCTTCCTCTGTGCTCAACAAGGAGGCTCCATCCCCGTAGTGTTGCTGAGTTCAGAGGCACCCTCTGGTCTGCTGAGTGGTTGCAGAGAAGAGACAAGTTAAGTACCTCCCACTGCAGAGCCTTGCTGAGGTGCTTCCTTCTGAGGGTTGTGTGGAAGGGCAGTTGCTCAGTGACCAGTTGCTTCTGCCTAGTGCTGAGAAACTGGGCCACTCTTGAGAAGTCTTGGCTCCAAGCACCAACCTCTGCAGTTTCACAGTGAGCAAGTGTCTGGATGGATTTTTGCTCGCAATAGACAAAGCATGATCCAAACCAAACGTGTCTGAGGGCTTCACAGCCTTCAGAGGGAAAGCTGGTGAAAGCTTTGCAATAGACCTCAAAGCCTCTGGTTTCTAGTGAGTTCTCTGCTCTCTTCTCCTTTCTCTTGACTGATTTTTATTTTCACCAACCTGACAGGAGTTGAATCTGCAGTCCTAGGAGGTAAGCTGGGGATAAATCTCAATTTCAGACTGTCTGCTTTCTTAAAGAGAGCTGACTTAGGTTTAGGCTGTGAAGGGCCTGTGTGCTCTTTTGAAAGAGCTTGCTCTGAAGAACTGCTTCTTTTTAATTACATTTTTTAAAATTTGCAATGTTGGGTGCTTTCTTCTGGGACTGAGCAGTCATTTATTGCAATAATGGACTCCAGGCACATCTATCATGTTGCTTCCCCACAGGAAGTAATTGATTTTTTTTTTTCTCGTTTTGTGTCCAGTAATGGAAGAATTGATTAGGGAGGGTCAGCAGCAGTTTATAAAAGAACTGATGCTAAAGACTTCAGGCCTTTGAGAGGATGAGTTTGGGAGAGGAGTGTTACTTGGACTTCCCACAGAGAAGTGGACACTGGAATGGGGATATAGCTTGTGCTGGACATGTTAGTCTTACTTTAGGGGGTGTGGGCAGCTGAACCCTGAGGTCTGCAGGAGATCCCAAACTGGAATCTACAACTGAGTCTGTGTAGTCCTGTGTCTTGCAGCTTCTGTCCTATGTCAGATATTTGTTAGAACCTTCAACCGTATTGAATGGGAAATTGGAGAAAACTGGTAGGTAGTTTGTTGCCATCATCAGAACACTGCAGAGACTCCTCAACTGTGACACATCTTAAATCTTCCACAGAAGGGGAAAACAAGGGGAGAACCATGTGAAATGATCTGACAATTTCTGTAAGATCTCCATTTGTCTATTCAGACAAACCAGGAGCAACTCTAGAGCACTGGCTCAATGTGCTGCTTTACACAAGCAGGGAAGTTTTCTTGCTGCCTTCCCAATACAGACCTTCTTTTAGGAATGTTTTATGCTAAGTAGGCTCAGCATGTTCAATAATTTATTTAAAGCAAGAGTGCCTGTTAATGTTTCCTGACAACCAGAGATCCAGGGGCAGTAGGAGGGCAAAACATGGTAAAAATTTGGGGCATGCAAGAACTATAGAAGCATTAGTCCATGTTCCTGCAGTAGTGCTGCCCCTGTTTGATAGTTGTCACCTGTGAGGCTTGGAGGGGTGAAACGATTTGCCCAAGCTGCTTTAGGATTAAGCATCAGGTGGTGTCACAACTTGAAAGTATGGGCATGTCTCCTGAGCTGTTTTTTCATTCAGTGTCAACTTCCTAAATGAAACAGATCTGAGGTATTTTGGTGTTTTGGTTTTTTTTTTGGTAGCTCACGTGTCTCTGAACTAATATATGGTCCAGTTTGGTTTCCTTTGGTGAGATTTATACTGACTTGTTTGGAAAAAAAAGAATCTGGGATCTCATCAAGCATTTCTTTATCCCTGCAGATTTTAGCCCTCCACAGCAGTGTCTTCTTGTGCCTCACTAAGGCTGTTCTGTGCATCCAAATAACTTGTGTAAGAGTGTTTTAATCTCATAGGTAAAGGCAGGATAAGTATTTTAAAAACCCCAAACAGAAAAAATGCACCCAAAAACCCAGCCAAGGAAATAGTATGGGGCAGGAACAGCTTACAATGTGGCAGTAGGGTAAGAGAGCTGCAGAAACAGAGTTTTAAAGCTCTGCAGGTTTGAACCTTGGCTGTTCAAGTTGCTGATGGTAAAGGAATCTCCCAAAGCAGCTCCCTCCGTTTGAACCCTGTGGAACCTGAGCTTTGCGGAGCCAAATTCTGAATGTGAAGGTCCTGCAGGTTTGCAAGCTGAGGGTTTGGAATCAGCAGACACTTAAAGCATCTTGTCTCTTCATTTCGCTGTTTGTCAAGCTGCGCTCACACCGAGTCTGTGAGCATCTGCTAGATGTTTGCCTGTGGCTGTTCCAAGTTGACAGCTTCATCTGGCAGGTGACTTAAGTGAGACCTGTTGGTCTTGACCAGCAACTGGAGGATGGGCTTGAACCAGAGGGCCTGATGTCAGGGCCAGGTACTGAAGGAGGCAAAGTTGAGCTCTAAGGCACCTCGTGTCCCATCACGTCTTGTGCTGTGGCCAAGTTCCCTAAGGTGCTGTTGTGACCCTTGGGTGGAGTTTGCTGCAGGAAAGAGTAAACTATGAAGGCAAATGGTGATTTATTTTTAAGACCTTGAAAAAGTTTTGCGTATTTGGTGAGCAGAGTTCAAGGGTCCCTGTGTACTTTGCTGTCTCTGTACAATATTTCCTTTTCCTGCAGTGGGTGTCAACCTCTTCTATTTCTGCATAATCATCTACCTCTATGGGGACCTGGCCATCTACGCAGCAGCTGTACCTGTCTCTCTCATGCAAGTGACCTGGTAAGTGTGCCCACTGCTGTGGTGTTGTGTGCTAAAGGAGAAGAGAGCAGGCTTTGGATTTGGTGGGGTGATAAGTCTGACTGGGATCAGTTCTACTGTCTGAAGCTCAGAGTGGAGAAATAACTCTAGGATGGCTCATCATTTGCAGGCAGAAAGGTGAAGTTGTTTTATATTCCCCACCCAAGTGCTTGCTGCCTGCCTGAAAAGTAGCTGACCTGATTTCAGTCCTCAAGTGTGAAGTTCTTCCAGCTTCAGCACCTTGCAGACATGGGACTCGTTGCTCAGTAGTTTGATTGTCATGCCCCGTGGAACATTTTAGTGTCTCTGTTTCTTTGGGTAAGAGCTGAGAGGTGTGATACTTACCAAGCGATCAGTGTGTGGTGACACTACATGGACTTAGCTCTGAACTGAGACCAGTTCCTGTCTCAAGCAGATAAAGGAAGAGATTTGTTTGATCAAATACATGCTGGGCAGCATTTGGACTCCTGACTTGGAAATGGAAAATCTCAGTGATCTATATATGACCCAAACAAACTTGTAAATAACTGCAGGCCGTTCAAGAATTTGCCTTTAAATGTGCGGTACTCAGTGACTTGCTGTTACACAGCCCAGAAAATACAAAGGAGAGGGACAGTGTTCAGGGAGGGAGGGGAGGAATGAACATCTCAAGTCTCTGACCATTCCTCTTTCTTTAGTGCAGGAGAGAAGAAGACATCTGCTAGGAGTTAATTACTGTCTTTTGTTTCTCCCTCCTTTCCCAGCAGTGTCACTGGCAACCGTTCTTGCAGCGTGGGGGATGGCACGAAGTACAATGATACAGACAGGTGCTGGGGGCCGATCCGGCGGATTGACGCTTACAGGCTCTATCTGGTGAGTTTCTGAAGCTGGGGTGACCATCACTCCTGGTTAAACTGTTCTTCTACTGGGTGGGGACTCTTTCCTGTAGAGGCGACATGGTTCGAGTGAACAATGGTGCACAGCTTTCAGTTCAGTCTGACCCTTTTGGCCAAATATCCCCTCTCTGTTCTTGCTGACGTGGCTGTTTTTCAGTCTGGCCATGAGAATAGTCCTTGTGATTCTGAGCTTAAGTAGAGTTCTGGCCTTCTTGTTGTGGAGTTTTATATTGCTTAGGCAGGTGATATGTCCATGCCAAAGGGTGGGGTTTTTTTCAGTGACTGGCTACGTAATTCTTGCTTTGATGTAATTGTTGTCAGTATATTCAAGTATATTAAGCTGTCTTGAGTGCATTCTTTATGTGAATAAAATTGTTTATGCTGCAGGAGAATCTGCTTTTTGAGAGATGATGGAAAACAGCCCACTTAAACAACATCCAGTGCTATATGCTGCTTTAGTAATAGCTTTCTGTCTAGTTTAAGATTGTCTATTGCATCTATTACTGTGCTGTGGTTCTGCTGTGAAATCAAATTTTTCCCCAAAGGATGATAAACACTTCTGTTGAGCTTGGGAAGAGGGGAGCACACGTACCTTGAGACAGCTGTCAGTAGGGCAAAGGAAGGAGAGGGTGGTATGGAAGTGCTGCATGCCGTGGCTTCGCTTAAGGATTCTAGGGAGAATTTTAAGAAAAAAGAGTGAGGGTGGCTGTGTGCGTGCAGAGAAATCCAGGAGTAAAGACTGTTTGAAGCCGTTTTGCAATTTAGTACATTTTGGTCCTGCAGTGGATCACGTTTCCGAGCACACATGTTCTGACACTATTGCAAAAGTAGGAGCTAGGACTCAGAAATATTAGTGAATGTCAAAGCTTAGTTAATTATTTATGAGAAATATTATTGCTTTATTAAACTGTGTCTTGGTCTGTTTCTTTAAAACTTCCAGAAGATTGAAGATTTCCGTCCTGAATTTCAATAACTCTCTCTGACCCAGCAGAAGGAGCTAGTCAGAAAAGGCAGACATGCATTAATTACTGCCTGCGTCTCTAGGATATTATGTCTATAATTCATGAAGATAATTGTTGTTAGGACTTGAAAAATTAAAAAATTAAGACTGTGTAAGCATTAGACTTGCTGTCTGTGTACATAACTCTCGGAGGAGCTTTTCCCTCTGCTTGTCTTCTCTCATGGATTTGAAGAATAAATATCTGCAAAGTCTTTGGTAGTGCTTAATCCTTCCGTGCTCAGTAATTGAGATGAGGCTTTCAGTGCTTTTTCTCTCCTCCCCCTTAGAAGTAGAGAAGGATGGTTTGGGGGAGAACGTACCAGTCTGTGGGGGTTACTGGAGGGGAGCGTTTCCCACTGTCACTGTATTGAAGAGGTTGCTGGGTGTCAGCATTGCCCCGGAGTTGTGGGGTTTTGTTAAGGTCTCTAATGCTTCTTCCTGGATGAGCAGGGGAATAAACTGGGACTTGTTCTACCTCCAGCTCTGCTGGTCCCCATTCCCTGCTTGAGCTGTGTGGTTTTATTCTCCAGAAGACAGAAATGATTTCCCTAGGGAGGGATAAGACGTGATCATTTATAAAACACTCAGACCCGCAGCACCGACACTGTCTTCACGTTTGGGCTGCCTCTGGAGTGACTGCCCTGCTTGATATTTTTCCCTTGCTGTCCTGTTTGCAACATGAACAGCTAGTGACCAGTAATTAAAGCTCTTCAACTTTCAGAGAGAAACCTAGGGGTGGGAAGGCAGGGATAGGAAGTAACTTGACTTGACTTGACTTCAAGCAAAAATTGAATAGCAAAGCACCATAACTATCTCTACGAATTTTGTCCAAGTTTCTTGTGTATAGAAGTGGAGTCTTGAACATGCAAAAAGAGCTGCAACATGCCTGTCTGAAGGGGAAGAGGCAGGATGAAAGTGAGGAGGGGTGGGCTGCATCAAGAGCCTAACTATTCTCTTGGCCCCAGGGGATCATACCCATAGAAAGCTTGCTCTGTTTTCATGACTTTTTCTACTTCTTGCCTGTTGAAATAATTGAGGTTCCAAGTTTCAGTGGACAAACAAGGTCTCTTTTTGCAGACTAAGTTCCCCTGTGGCAAGGGGACAGATGGACACTGTGATCCCAAAAGAAAGCAGCTGAGTTCTTGGATGAGCACTTTTGTCCTAGATGCCTGCCTCTAGTTTTCTCATCTTGTCTTAGTATTGTATTTAAGTTTAAGTGACTTTTAGGAGCAAGGCGGTTGGAGGTAACTGGACGTTCTTGTCTCTTCCAGTGAAGCAGGTCTCTGGATGTAGTGCTGTATTTCTTACTCTGTGCCTGACCCCACAGAAAGCCTTTTTTTAGACTACCAGGAGAAATAATCTATTTGAGGTTTTCTGGGAAGATGGTGCCAGTGGGAGCTCTCCTGTGCCAAGTACCACCAGTCTGCCAAAGATCTGTGCTGCCTTCCTCCTGTCGACTGTTTCTCTCCCAATGCTGTGTCTCCTTTTCAACAAAAAAACATTTCAAACATTGACTCTTTGAGCTGGGGGCAGAGAGGGGAATAATGACTGATGTAACAATCCTATTTCACGGTGTATTGTCCAGAAAGGCCTCTGGAAGCTGTCTGCTCTGATCACTGTGAATGGGAGCTGAAAACTATGTACATAATGAGAATACTTAGACAGATTAAATTCTTCTCTTGAGACTTGCTTGTCTGTGCAGCATCTTTATCGCTACTCCAAAATCTCACACCTAAGTGTGTCTGCAGAGTCTTCAGAGACCGCTAGGCCCCTATTAACCTTTTTCTGAGCAAATGATTATCTCGCTTCTTGTTTGTAAATTGCCTTGGAAAATAAAGGCTGGCAAAAGAAATGAGTGAAGGCAAGCGCAGGAAATACTGAATGAGATTTTTTTGCTCCTGTCCTGTCCCTTGGTGCTGATATTTGTCTCCCCTTTGGGACCATAGGAGTCCTGGGAGGTTTACAAGGTGCTCCTTGCCTCGTTGTTCCATACCTGTGAGGGCAAACTGGCTGGAGGAAAGGCATGTGCTGGCTGGCCCAGCGACCTTGTTGAGGCGAGCAGCAATTACAGATAAAACAGATCGATGGCTTTCTATCTTCGCTCTGCATCGTCACCGCGCTGTCATGTCCTCGACAGCTGAAGTGGCTCCCGAGTCCCTTGGCTGTCTCGGTGGCAATGCTGAGGACAGGGTCGAGTTCTCTCTGCGCTGAATTCACACTTCAATGCAGTTGCTCTGTCCTGCTTTCTGTAAGGTCAGCTAGGTGTCTTCTGCGTAGGCTGCGGGGAAGGGGCAGCGGATTTGAGTCTCAGATCTCTCCTCATAACACCTTCTTGTCTTTCTGTTGCCGTGCTGTAGGAACGTGACATGATAGCCCCTGTTTCTAGAAAGCAGATCCTGGGATAAATAAGAGATTAAATCCTGGGGATCAGCAGCCATTTGGAGCATCTGATCCAAACTGCATTCACGACCTGGCAAACGGCGCTGCTCTTCTGCACCGTTGTAGCTACACCCTCTAGTCCCTTCTCAGCCCTCCTCTTGCGACAGTTTGGAGCACGGCGACTTCCCGGGCTGAAGGGAAACGGCTGAAGTGCCTTTCAGGAGAGGCACGGGCGCAGGTAGCCCTGGTGGCCTGGCTCGGGAGCGCGTCAGAGGCACCAGGTGCATCTGTTCTGTCTGAGTCTCTGGGTTCCTCGCCGGCCGGGGCCGGG